TGACACATGGTGGATTTAATCCCAGTACACTGACCTGAAGCTACTGGTAGGTCTGTATTCCCACCAGTCCAGCCTGCTGGTGTTGTGGGTCCAAGTGCCATGACAACAACAGCCCATAAGGAGTCTATATTTAGCCCTGGATCACTGCCCACTACCATTGTCCTGCTGATTAAATAACAGCAGACAGACAGACAGCTGCCCAGAGATGACTTTCTGAATCTGTCAAGGTTGTTTAATCCAGAAACTGTTTGACATTATCAGATTAAAGTCCTCCTTGTGTTTTGGGCATGGAGATGGTGGAAGAAGTCCAGTTTTTCTGTGGCCAGAGTGCACACGCTGTGCTGTTCACAGGAAGACTTCACTCTTCAGTTTGGACTTGATCTTTGGAGTTGATTTCCCACCAGTGAGCACACTGACAGAAAGATTTAACAGGGAGGATGTTCAGTGTCTCAGTTAGCAGGGAAGAGATGTTCTACTCTCTGGTTTTAAAGCTAAAAATAACAGCTTAATGTTTAAATAAAACACTGTCAGACCTTCCTATCTGAGTATTTAATCTATAAACAGTTTCTCAATTGAATTTTAAAACATTTACTGTATCTTTTATATACAGATGGATGACAAATGGCAGTTCAACATTCAGTGTGTTGTTAAGGTGAGCCTCCAGAACAGCTTTGGTTTTCTGGAGGCCCCCAAAAAGATATTCCCTCATTTGGTGTTTGGACGAAGGTGGTGGAGAGCATTGTCTGCCCCTTCAGTTTAAAATCATAAGTGCTCAGTCGGGTTGAGATCTGGTGACTGTGACAGCATTGAGTCGGGGGAAACCTGTGGATGGGGGCTTCGTCGTACCAGACACAGCAGAGGTTTCCCTTCATTTCTCAACTATCTGTATTTAGGGCTTGTAATATATAAAGTACTGTGATTCAAGACCTACTTTGAGTCATGTTCATTTAATTAAACAAGTGACCAAATAGTTTTCTTTGGTCATGATTCAAGTGAACTTTCACATGACAGTGATTGATCCATTGTTAAATGTTTATTACTACTGCTTTAAAGTGGTACTACATAACTTTTCAAAGAAGAAATAAACAATTATTTTGTATTATTATTATTTTAAGTCCAATTCACAAGTAATAAAACAGGCCATTGCTCAATTCAGTACACTCGGGGGAGTTTGTTGCTAATATATAATAATGTCAGCAAACTAGCGTAACATAAAGGGAAACTGATAAACTTAACATGGATAAACTGCTGTATAACTGATGTTACTGAGTCAGTTTGCTGACTTTATGACTCTTCTCTACTCTACTGCGTTACACTAGTTTTTAACATTATTCTGTAATTGTCACTTTTGGCCACAATGGCTGCCGTTCATCCATAATCTCACTTTAAGGTCAGTGTTAAAGTGAACACAGAGTTTCCGTGTTTAAATGTATAAATGCTGTCTCAGTGGATTTAGAGAAGAATCTGACCTGACAGATCTGCTGGACTTATTAAACAGCACGTCTGATAATTACTGTGGGACCATTAAGAGCTTTTTACACCAGCAGGAGGATATTATACGGATTAAAGGTTCACAGGTAGATGCTGAAGGTTTAGACTGGATATAATTTGGACCGACTTGTCTCAGGTTTCTGTTACTAAGAACTGAGTTGACCGGTGAAGATCTTTTAACAATGTTTCTAATCTTCTGAAGGGGGCAAACATTATGTAAGATGTTTCAAAGTATTTTAGAAGATGGATTACATTTCTCTGCGGTATGTCAGAATATTGAAATAAATGTCTGATATTTCTAAACATCCTTCCTGTGTTTTGCTCCGTCCTGTCAGGTGTGGTGCTGGTTTGTTTCGAATGCGACTCTGACGGCTACATCAACCTGGTGGCCTACCCCTACGTGGAAAGCAACATGGAGGGGGGTATGGCGGAGCACGAGGAGCGTGACCTCCCAGAGAGGGAGCAGCCGAGGAGGAAACACTCCCGGCGCAGCCTCCACCGCTCCTCCTCCTCCTCGGAACACAAGGAGGACCGGTCCGACAGGAGGGAGTCGCACGACACCGACACTTCTGAAAAGTAAGATCGTATTAAAGGAAGAGATCGCCGAAAAATAAACAGTCAATTAATGTATTAGTTGGTAACTTTTTTCATATTGATGATTTATGAAACATTCTATGGTACGAGCTTTTCCATCGTGAGGATTAGCTGCTTTTCTCTGTTTTATGTCTGTAAACTGAATATATTTGGGTTTTGGACTATTTTAAAATGTAACATTGGGCTCTGGGAAACACTAGCTGTCAAATTTGTGTAAATAACGCAAACCTTTAAATCCATTATAAATGCAACAGAGGATCACCAACAGTCATTTTTTTCAATATTGATGATTTTCTCTCTTCCTCCAAGCAGTCTTGGAGAGCTGAAGAGTCCCAGGCTCGACCCAAAGATCCACTCAGATGTTCCCTTCCAGATGTTGGACTGGAACAGTGGTTTGAGTTCGGAGAAGATCAGTTACAACCCCTGGAGCCTCCGCTGCCACAAACAGCAGCTCAGCCGCATGCGATCTGAATCCAAGGACCGCAAACTCTTCAGTATCCTTCCTACAAAATAATGTAATCAAGGTCTGCTTACTAGCCTTTTCTGCAGTTTAAAAAACAAACCTAACAGAGTTTAAAGCAAGTGGACCAAACTACTGTGTCTCCAAGGTCAAGAACACGCTTGATCTGGCTGAAATAATATCCACAAGAAATGTGGCCAAATGTAAAGCCACATTTCCACCAAACACTGGTACCTAAACCCTAGAGACAGTACCTTTAAGTGTAGGCAGGGCTTTGGAGCTTACCTCCTTCGTTTTTCCAGCTGTTGGGAAACAGAGGGACTTTTTTTAGTCTTGAGAAGCTGCAGCGTTTATTAACTGACACACTGCAGCTGATACTTCACCATCATCTTTCTGCTGCTCTCTGTCTCTCTCTCTCTCTCTGGCTCAACCACACACTCGCTGTGCACACGTGTTTCATGTTCTTTCTTCTCTGTATGTGGTTGTTTATTACAACAAGGAGGCAAGCTTTGTTTGAGAAAAGGCTGCAGGCAGCAAGACAAAAGTGTTTGTGAAGTCCGACATCAGAGTGGAGACGACCAGGCGACTCTGGCTGCTCCGATTCTCTCTGACCAATCAGTGGTCTGCAGCGATTTAACTCCACCTTTTAGTATCGACTCAGCTCGCTTGGAAACTCAACAGAGGGGTGACGAGAAAAAACGAGACAAAATTGAGTGGTTCCTGTGGTACCATCTGCAAGTTTGGACAATGGGAACGCACAAATAACGTGCAACGAACTGAAATGTCCGTGAGACAGTGAGGAATAATAAAGGGGACGGTGGGAGGTGTCTGAGGTTATTAGGTCAAAGGTTGTGTTTTGATCTTCAGCTTCAAAGAGAGCAGACTGCAGCTGCGTGGAAAACACAGCAACAAACACTCTGTCCTCAACCAAGTCCATCTGTCTTCAGTCACAGCAGGTTCAACGGGGCCGCTGTCAGAGAAAGTTCTCTGTGCAGATACACGATACATTCAGACAGTGTCAGATAACAGGAATAGCTGTTGGCATATATTTATGTGTGAAATATAATAGTAAAATAATAGTATATGCCATATTGTAACACGAAGCACAGTCACTCTGTGACAAAAACAGGGAAGCAAAATGGGGAAAAACAAGAAGTCAAGATGTAAATTAAATCTAATAATAGCCGATAATGTATTTAGAGTGAACAGCAGGAATATTCTATCACAGTCACAGTGTTAGTAAATCTTCACACGTAGGAAATTTGACTATTCAGAACTAAAGGGAAGGAATGACTCTACAGTGAGTGTGCTAACTGGAAGTATTTCCAATTGAAGACCGAGATGCGTCTATATTATAGAAACAAGTTTTTACAAATCAGCAATACCATAAATTTGAAATCTGCATAGAGAAAGTTTGTTTAAAACAGTAAATAAAAACAGAACATTATAAGCTGCTGTGTGTATCTCTCCACCGTCTATAAAACAATCTCTTGCTCGCCAGACAGAAATGTTCTCCTTAACTGCAGCGTTTCAACCAGAGTTCCTGTTGTTGGAGAATGTGGTCCACCACTTCTCTTACCCCTGCATCCTGGACCTGAAGATGGGCACCAGGCAGCACGGAGACGACGCCTCCGAGGAGAAGGCGGCCAGGCAGATGAAGAAATGTGAACAGAGCACTTCAGCGACGCTGGGAGTCAGAGTGTGTGGCATGCAGGTACAACAACAACAGCTGCTGCTGCTGCTGCTCAGTCGGCACCATCGAAACATATCACAGGATTAACAAAAAGATAATCGCCTGAGGATGTTAGAGAAATAATACAGACTAATTTACCTCCATCAGTTAGTGAATGTCACAGTTCACTATGCTGGGGTAGAGAATAATAATATTAGATTCCTCATGCACATTTAGAATAAGATGGTAGCGTGTGCCCCCAAAGAACCATAGAAATAGTTTTTATTCCACTAATATAGATTTTATTTCTTTAACTCTACGGAGGTGAAGGATCAGTTGATGTATTGATACTTCAGCATTATACTATACTGCTTATAATACTACCAATACTGCCAATACAACCTCTAGAACTCCTACAATTATTACTCCTACTGCCTCTGATATTACTATATAAACAAATATGACTTAAACTCATAATACTAATAAGCTTGATAATAATTATTATGCCTAACACCTCCAGACAAACGTACTCGTATTCGGGCTCTGCAAGAAGGAAATTCTTTCTGGATTCTTGATATAGTAGATATGTAGACTGTTAGTCAGCTTTTCTTTTGAAAATCCTAATCTATTGTATTACATAATGAAATGCACAGTTGTACTATTGTTGTCGGTGAGATGTTTGAGGGGTTTCCCGTCCGTCTCTGCAGGTGTACCAGCTGAACACCGGTCACTACCTCTGCAGGAACAAGTACTACGGACGCGGCCTGTCAATCGAAGGCTTCCGCCAGGCCCTCTACCAGTACATGCACAACGGAAAGGGTCTGAGGCAGGACCTCTTTGAACCAATCCTGAATAAGCTTCGCAGCCTGAAGACGGTGCTGGAGAGGCAGGCGTCCTATCGCTTCTACTCGTCTTCACTGCTCATCATCTATGAGGGACAGGTGAGCCGGCACTTGATGCTCTGTGACGATGCGCTCGTCCGTCGATGGGTTAGGGCTAATTTGTTCTTCAGTAAACATGTTTTCAGGTGATTATACACTAATAACAAGATACCTATCAATATTATATTCCATGTCTGTCAATATATCCTCCTAAATGTTACACACTGGACCTTTTTAAAGTCTGAAGGGGCAAAAAAAAACACACTTTATTTCGAGGGCAAAGTCAGTTCACCCGAAATGTCGTAATAATCCTTCACTGCACGGAGAAACTGTGTGCACACAACTACAGTAAGTACGGTAGATCATACTGTGAAAGATGTTTACACACAACTTAGATAATATGTACTTGTTGTGTTAACAGCTGGTTTTCGCTGCCCTCAAGTGGCCAAAAAAATCTAAAAAAATTCTAAAAATTGCAGGTTTAAATGAAAGCAGAATAGACTTCTGTTTCTATTTCTGTTACTTTCTGTCTGTCTTTATGGTTTATTCTGATCACTGTTGGATTCTCTCTGTAGGAATCTGAGGGCCCTTCAGTCCTCAGCTCTGGGCAGCATGCATCCTTGCAACAGAAGACTCCTCCGGCCCCTGCAGAGCCCCACTGTGGCCCTGGGCCCCACGCACCTCCGCCCCCAGGCGCTCCCTGTGAAACGGACATGAGCCAGAACCCGGACCCGGGGTCACTGTCCTCTCAGGGACCTGGACTTATGGCTCCACCCGCCCCTTCCCCTCATCCTCCCCCACAGGCCCC